TTTATTGTGAAAGTAACAAGTTTGTTTGGACTTTTTGCCGTAAGAACAAATATTGACAAATTTAGTGGAATATTTTAGAAAAATGTAAAAATATACAAACAGTTTTTCGGCGTATGGGGGGATCCACATGTGTGTCTGTAAACTGATGAACTGTTAACGATAACACTGAAGTCTTGAGGAAATAAAAAGCTTCCAAAGAAGAAAACGGGAAACTCCCTGAGGCGAGAGTTTTGGGCGCCTGAGACAGACGGCGGCCTGAGGAGCTCCAGCTGTCTGCGCTGAGAGAGCGAGGCCACGAAGGCTCCGTGTGTGCGCGTGCAGCAGCGTCTCAGATTTAATAAGAACCAATCAATGCTGTTCCTGTTCCTGAAGATCATTTTTGACTCGTGAGTAAAAGTTTGATTATTTGGCTCTGTGTGAGGTCACGTGGCGCCCGGCGAGCTGGTGTTTTTGTTCTTGGTCCGACGTCATCGGTGCGATGCATCAACACGCAGCGTACCACAGAACCGGTTCTCCGAGGCTCGCGGGAAATCTACAGAGGCGAGGCCGTTTGTAACGAACGCGCTGATCCTGAACAGCAGCAGGAAAATGCCCGCAGGTTTACCGCCTCTGCTCGCCGTGCACCTCGGCGGTGAAACAACACATCCGGCTGTTTACGTCGGGAAGGAGGCCTTTTGCCGGCTCATCGTGAACATATGAGAAGGCGGAGCTCCAACAGGCAGCGTAAAAGTCACTGTGGTCACCCCGCTGTTGTTTTGGTGACGCAGATCTGTGGCTGACGACTGTTTGTTTCGGCGTGCTCCGAATGGACGTCGCTAAACATCACCTCATGAGATGGGCGGGTCGCACGCCGTAAAAGGAAGTGGAAGGGCTAAAAGGTCTGCACCTGAGACTCGGGTTCAACCATCTGCACCACATGTGGAGGGTAATTAATGTCAGGTTTATCTCGGGCGCTGGCGGAGACTCCAGGAAGTTCCTGCGACCTGCCAACAGACGGTTATTGCCCATATATGGGCGCAGCCAGCGTGTCGTCATGGCTCGGGTTTTTTGAGCTGCTGACCTCATTAAAACGAAGCTGTTTAATAATCTTATTTTCATTGAGCAGCATGTGTGGCTCCGCCTCCAGCAGCCTTAGAAAGTCTGGGTCGTCCAATGGCCCCCCAGCTGTGTGTGTGTGTGTGTGTGTTTGTGTGTGTGTGTGTGTGTGTGTGTCAGCAGAGCTCAAACTCTTTACAGTTCAAGTTTTTCTTCCTCTGACTTCACATTAAAGCATTTGAAGTTTTACAACAAGTCCTCCAGGCTTTTATTTTGAAACCATCCTCCCTCTCTCTCCTCTTCCTGCAGATGTGCACTCCCAGAAACACCCCCGCCACGCCACCCAACTTCCCCGATGCCATCACCATGTTCTCCAAACTGCGGGCGTCCGAGTGTGGCTCCGGCAGCGGGCCCTCCCAGGTGTCCATGGCGTGCTCTCCGCCGACTCACTCCTCCACGGCGGGATTCGGCTCCTTCTGGGCGTCCTCGCCACCCAGCCACCAGCCGGCCTGGCTGCCCCCGTCGTCGCCCACGGGCCACCACATGCACCACAATCACTACCACCACATGCAACAGACTCCCATGTGGCCCCCCGTCTCCCAGCCCAACGGCTCCCAGCAGCCCCCTGTTGTATCGGCGCTTCACGGACAGAGATGAGGCTGAGCG